TCCGCGTCTGAACAAGAATACACCAATATATCATCGATAAATACAATTGCAACAGATATAAAAAGGTCCTGAACACACGGTTCATCAAATCCATGAATACTGTTGGGCATTGGTCAAACCGAACGGAACTCGAAGCTCTCATATCTGGTCTAGAATGCTATCTTCGAGATATCTTCCTCATTAACCCTTACCTGATGGTACCCGGACCTCAAGTCTATCTTTGAAAAACACTTGTCACCTTGCAACTGCTCAAATAAATCATCAATCCTCGTGAGCGGGGTACTTATTCTTGATCGTCACCTTATTCTACTGTCTATAATCAATACATATCCGTAAGGAACCATCTTTCATCCTCACAAATAACACACATGCTCCTTATGGTGATGTACTAGGTCTAATAAAGCCTTTTTCAAATAAATCCTTTAGTTGTTCCTTCAGCTCCTTTTAGTTCTGCGGGAGACATTCTATAGGGAGGAATAGATATTGGATGCGTATCTGGTAGGAGGTCAATAGCAACTCAATTTCTCGCTCTGGTGGAAGAACCTAAAGTTCATCGGGAAACTCATTAACCACAGGGAAGGATTGAATGGGTGGTAACTCAAATTCCACATCCCAAACCCGAACTCAGTGATAATTATGGTCCTTTCTGATCATCTTCCTTGCCTTGAGATAGGAGATAAATTTACCTTTTCGCGATGCGGTATTACCTTTTTATTCTAAAACAAGCTCTCCTAGGAAATGAAATCAAACCATCTTTGATCTACACTTGACTATAGCATAACAAAAGGCCAAACAATCCATATCCATTATAATATCAAGTTCTATCCAAACGAACACCACGTACCTTATCCTTGTTTATTATCAAATCTATCACGGGTCATTTTGGGCCACATCCATATATATAGGTAACAATATTAAAACATAACTTACATAACTAATTTAGAAAAAGGTTTATATACATAGGGGTCGACTAGGCCGTAGACATGTCATACCCAAAACTATATACAGGATACTGTCTGCAAAACCTCTAAGTAAACATAACCATAGTATATCTACAAGTCGGGACAGAGCTCCCTACGTCCTTATAAAACAACCTAACATATGCCAAACTGTGAATTGGTAATATTCCCAGAAGAAGTAGAGCTCACCAATAAAAAGCTGACACCTGGAGGAAGTCTAGAGTAGAGGGTCCTTGCCTCGTCCTATATGAGAACCTCGATCGGACATACTTCGAAACGGAATCTTCATGCCCTTATCAGTTACCTTCCTCCTCTTAGCCCGACTACTATCTTCTTCCTCTACGTATCTCATAACATACGCTGACGAACCTTGATTGACGAACTCCTAGGACTGTAGACTATCTGGAATCTCAGAAGAGCTGGTGTCCACAAAGACCTTGACATTGTTTTGAGCTTGAGGGAAACCCGACTGTGCCAATCCATGTACTACTCCCCTCATACCCTGATCAAAGGGTTGTGATAATGAAACTAAGGGCCTTGGTAGGTTGGAACTCCTCTCACCCTATCTGCTACCAGAGTGGTCGAAACAGCTCGAACGGATGACTCATATGGATCCTCGGATTGATCCTCCTCAATATGAACTCATGATCTCTGATGGGTATGACTCTATAGTGTAACTTATATCTCTTTATAACACTTTCGTAGCCTTTTGACCTATACTAGTGGTTGTAGTCTTTAGAGGCATCGCTGAAAACATAACATATCGTTAGGAACATGAATTCTTATATCACACGATCTAAAATAAAAAGAGAGGATAACATCCTATATGTCATGTAGCCCCATGTCTATAAGTGTAGTGCACAACACACTCATAAACAAGACTCTACTAAAAATGGTCAGTAGAAAATCCTTGGACAGAACCTGGCTCTGATACCACTTTTGTCACGACCCAAACCGATGGGCCGCGACGGGTGCCCGAGTCCTACCTATCAAACACCCCTAAGCATGCGTCTAGGATATAAACCTGAATAACATCTGCTGAATTACGTGAATAATATACATGAAGGAAACCTGCCCAAAAAGGCATACATACATATATGTGCAACATACGTAGGGTGACCCGACAAGGCTACTATAGACACCTATATACCTCAAAATTGGAAACCGGCAAGGCCCCATATTATCCAATTAGATGTACTGACTACAGACCTCTAATAGAAATATAACTGTACAAAGACGGGACTGAGCCACGTCATACCCATATATATACACAAATATATCGTACCAAGATCAAAAGCAGCTCCGGATCAAGTGGAGCACGTCAACTATCACTGATCAAGGATCCTAAGAAGGGGGACCATCAGCTTGCCTACCTGCACCTGCGGACATGAAACATAGGCCCCATGAAATAGGGCATCAGTACAAAAATGTACTGAGTGTGTAAGGCATGAAAATCTATACGTAAAAGGCATAGATGAAACATGGAATAAAGAAATCCATCTGTAAATCTGAATAATTTTGTAAATTCTGAAACATTTATAACGTTATGCATATGTATATAAGTGTCGTGTCATGAATGGGTATAGGTGTACATAACATCATCAAGCCACTGAGGGCATCCCATTATATCATCTCGACCACTGTGGGCAACATCATCAACATATACCTACTGATCAGGTGGTGGTGCGTATATAACGTTATAACCTTTTCTCATATCCCATATACATATAAATACATGTATATAACAACATTTGGCCATGAGTCAATGTACATGTATAAATGAATGAAATGTATGAAAAATATGTAATAAATGTCAATATTCCTTCCGGATAAACTTTTTCAACAGCGTATTATTCTGAGACCTATGAACAGAAGATATAATAATATGTTACATGGGGAATCAAGAACATAGAGACCCCTAGTATTTCTATTAATAGAGTCGTTTATGAAAATTGTGCATTTGCTCATTTTTTCTGTATAACTTGGATCATGCTAAAAAGAAAGAAGTGGTAGCCTTAAAATACCCGGAGTAGGAAAAATTCTGTATAATATTCTTGAAAAAGATTGCACGTTGTTAAGCTTTGAATAATTTCTCGTTGGATTGTTGGTTGGAAAATGTTTTGTTGAAGCTTGCTAAAGTTCTATATTTAAAAATCTTGGTTGAAGATGTTCTGTAATCAATGGCTAACATTTTGGGTTATGGTTGAAGGGAGCTTTTATGTAAGAATGATATTCATTCTAATGGGTTAGTCTTAGTGAATATGGAAGCAACAACAATAACAACAATAACCACCCAGTATAATCCCACTTAGTGAGGTCTGGGGAGGGTAGTGTGTACGCAGACCTTACCCTACCCTGGGGTAGAGAGGCTGTTTCCAAATAGACCATCGGCATCCTTCCCTCCAAAAACTTCTCACCTTGCTCTTGGAGAGACTCGAACTCACAACCTCTTGGTTGGAAGTGGAGGTTGCTTACCATCAGAGCAACCCCTCTTGTCCTTAGTGAATATGGAAGATCTTTAAAAAATTGTGAAATGTGACATTATGCCACCTAACCCAAAAATGACTAAGAGTCATTGTTTGGAAGTGGCAAGGCTGCCATGTTACTTTGGGTGGGGGGGTTGATCTTATTATTTAAATTCATTAATTAATTAGCTAGTGTTTCGGTACCCGATAATTAGTCAATTACTCAAATATTTTAGAATTATCTCAACTATTTAAAATACTACTCATTTTTAATATACTTTATACATCATACTATCATGGTCATATGGTACCTTCTATGGTACTAGTTCATAAACATCGAGTATTATCGCTTGACCCGTATTTTGTCCTAAATCGGCCACCTTCACCGAAACTCGTTTTCTTTAATTCGTATACCCTTTATCCTTCATGACACTTACTTATCGCTTGTTATAAATAGCATAAATACGTTAGCCTCAAGATAATCTCATCCCCGAGTCTATGTCGATTAACTGAAGATGAAATTTTAGCGTACAAAAACGCGAGATGTAACAAATCTAATTTATAATTTGTTTATAACATGCACTTTGGCTGGCATTTATCAATTATACAACATGTGAAAAAATAATAATTCATTAATAAGACTTAGATCGGATGTCTAACTAATTTTCTGTTATGAACCGTAATTGTCCAACCAACTTGTATATTAAAATTTATAAACTAAGTCAGATATGAAATCAGTTAATCCAAAACATGAAACAAATATTATATGAAAATTAATAGAATTTTGTAAGATATCAAATATAAAATCAGTCAAGTCAAATACAAAATATGAAACAAAGAATTATATAAAAATTAATAGAATTTATAAGTTAAAGAGCACATAAATTTAATTACCTTATATTTTAAAGCAAAACCATTATCGAAAAGAAAGCTTCCATGATGGGTTACAACACACTAATCTTGTAACATATGCCTACAAATATTACGTACAAATTAAAGACAATGTATAATAAAAATTACTTTGGCATTATATTCAAAATTCTAATAAAGCATGCGTATACAAAACTTAACTACTTGTCACACCTCCTTTTTTCTAAGGGGATAGGGAGTTTACCAATTAAAGTGACATTAATCGAAATGAGATTAATTATTAAATTAAAGTTGCCATTTGGAATAATTTTATGGTGTTCCAAGTCACCGGTTTATTTTAAAATTCCAAATCGAGGAAATTGACTCTATTTATGGTCTGCGAACACAGAAGATCGGGTAAGGAATTTTGTTAATCCGAAAAAAGGTGAGAGGCACTCCCGGATTCTGTGGTTTTAGCATAGTCGCTTTTAATCATACCTGGCTTAATTAATTATCTAATTACTTATTTTTAGAACCTATGTACCTTTACTTTTTACCGCTTTTGTCACGACCCAATTTTAAAATATTGGTCGCGATAGCGCCCAACACCGAGGTTAGGCAAGCCAACCTTAATCAACTAGTGGGTTCTATTTATATTACCAAAACATTTCCAATATTTATTGAGATTAAATTTAAAACATTCAATAATAATGAATAGTTTAGGCAATTTAAAAACTAAAGTGACCAACTGATATTATAATTAAGTGATTACATTCCAAAAGAATAGTCTACTAATGTGTGTGTGAAGACCTAGAGTCACAAGTATATGGGCATTTAGTAGAATATACAAAAGAATATGTTTATCCTACTGCTTGGAATAAAATATACAGCCAAAAAAACAAAAGAGAGACTCCATCATGCTGCTGAACAACATCGGAAAGGAGCATCTCACCGTGGAATCTCGGCCAAATATCAAGAATGCGCACCAGACGGGTAGCTAGATGCACCTGTCTCAGATCCTGTACAATTAAGTACAGAAGCGTAGTATGAATACATAAACAATATGTACCCATTAAGTATCCAGTCTAACCTCGAATAAGTAGTGACGAGGGGTCGACTTGACACTTACTAGGGTCACTAAATTTAATAATATGAAGTTCAATATTTCAACTCACAATGTACATAGATAGCAACAAGTTCAAATAAGAAATAATACTGAAAATCCTCTCATCAAATTAATAAATCTAGGCATTTCCTTCATTTAAAACAAGTGGTCTTTCAAGCAATAAATCATACGGATTATAAGAGGTTACGGTTCCATTATCACACAATCACTACCGAGGACGTTTGGCCTGATCCAACATAAAAAGTAAAACGTGCACTTCCGAGGGTCGAATGGCCCGAACCATATATATACAATTACCAACCTACCGAGGCGAACGGCCTACTCACATGAGAGTAGTGGAAATAATCACCCCGCTTGCAAAATATACTTGCGACGCGGTTAAGTATAAATACAACTTAAATATTTCCTTAATTCTTTTCCAAATAATTATTTACTTGAAACCCTTGAAATCTTGACATCCTCGACGAAGTTTCAATCAATGCAATTCAACAATTTATAATTATATAACAATACCCACAAGGCATGGTGTAAGCCTAGAGCTACCCAGACATAACAGGAATAGTAGCTATGTACAGACTCACGTCACTTCGTGTGTACGTAGCATCCACAATCGAATCACATATTAATTAAGTTCACCTATGGGGAGATTTCCCTCTTACAAGGTTAGAAAAGAGACTTACCTCACTTCACGGTCTACTTTTCGGTCCAAGATTAAGCCCAAACCCTCAATTTGGTGCCAGATACTCCACAACTATCCAAATAGCATAGAAACTAATCAATATAGGCTTAAAAGTTTATATCCCAACCATTAGAGTGATTCACCAATCCAAATTACAAGATTCCTAAAATTCATCCCCGGGCCCACGTGCCCAGATTTCGAAGTTCTTTGAAGAAAGTTGTTACCCATAACCTAAGGATCGAGAATATATGATTTTCACTCCATTTCATAATAAATTTCGTGGTTAAATCTTATTTTTATTAAAACCCTAGGTTTTACTCTAATCCCAAAATTTTTACTAATCTTGGTGTGTTAATCTACACAAAAACCAAGTATTAAACTCACATTAAGTAGGAGTAACTTACCTCACGAATGCTAGGTTCAAATTCCCTCTTTGGAAGCTCCCAAATCGCCCAAGAATAGAATGAAATGTGTCAAAATGACACATTTCCCGTATTAAATCAAGGCACTGCCTTCAGCGATTTCCGCACCTGCGGTTAGGGGACCGCATCTGCAGTGTAGGGGCCGCTTCTGCAGAAAAGGAGCCGCATTTGCAGTTCCTAGCTCCTCCCCTTGGGCCGCACCTGTGAAGGGTCGACCGCTTCTACGGTCTCGCACCTGCGGCTGGCCAAACGCCGGTGCGATTATGACAGCAACCTGGAGCTTCAGCTCTTTCCAAATTTTCCTAACTCAACTTGAGCCTCGTTCGATTGACGCTCGGGGGCCTCCGGGGCCCCGCCCAAATATACCAATAAGTTTAAAATCATAAAACGGACTCATTCGAACCCTTGGAACGCCCGAAACAACGCTAAATCTAAGAATCACCCCCTAAAACCAATTGAATCAAACTTATGAACTTCAAGTTCTTCAATTTACTTCTAACGCGCCGAAACGTACTTATACTACTCAGATTAACACAAAATTTTGCGTGCAGGTCTTAAATGACACTACGGAATGATTTACGATCTCGAAATTCCTTTCGGACCTCGATAACATAAAAACCCGCTCCAAACCAAATATTTAAGAACTTCAAAATCCTTAAGGAATCAACTTTCACTATTAGGTACCAAAACGCTCCTAGGTCATCCAAAATCCGATGCGGACATATGCTTTAGTCTGAAATCATTATACAAACTTGTTGGAACTTTAAAATCCAGATTCCGAGGTCGTTTAAACGCTGACCGAAATCAAACTTGGCCTTTTAAGCCAATCTTAAGGAACCAAGTGTTCCGATTTCAACCCAAACTCTTCCAAATCCCGAACCAACCATCCCCGAAAGTCATAAATTAGTAAAAGCAAGTACAAAAAGTCTTATTTAAGGGAACGAGGTTCTAGAAAGCAAAACAACTGATCGGGTCGTTACATTCTTCACCTCTTAAACAAACATTCGTACTCGAACGGGTTTAGATTCATACCTGAAGTGTTAAACAAGTGTGGATATCTACTCCGCATATCCTCCTCGCACTCCCAGGTCGCCTCCTTGACTGGTTGGCCCCTCCACTGGACCTTTACCACAGAAAACTGGTGATCCTGTCTATCAACAGTGGCAATTGGCTCCTCCTCATAGCCCAAGCTCTCATCTAGCTGAATAGTACTGAAGTCTAACACATGAGACAAATTTGTGTGATACCTCCCAAGCGTACATGTACACAATTAATCATGCTTTATTATTTTGTTTTTGGCCAAAGTCATGCAAACGCGTACCTTGATTTATTTTTAGGATCATAATTATGTCACACAAACGTGTACATAATCACGAAAATAGATTAAAAACGTGCCTAAAGCATTCTTCACATATTTATAAGTTGATCTTTCCTAAGTTTGAGATTATTTGAGGCCATAGATTATGGAAGTCATTTGTGAAAAATGGGTTAGCTATTGATTCATTAACAAATTCAAATCCCTACGACCTGTCAACAATTGTGCGTTCATCACCACTAAAACATTAATCAACTTTCACTTTAAACTTGACAAGAGGACAAAATTAATGCATAAACAAAATACATTCTATGTAGACACATAAGAGAACTTTCCAAATATAAGAATTCACTATCCATAAATTTGTCCTATACCATCAAACCAAAGGAAAGAGTGCCTCGGTCGTCACTTCTTACATAACAGCCTAAGACACATATCTTTCTCCATTTAAAACCTAGTAATTTGAAACTGACTGGACAAGTTCAAAGAGACTAACCTTCAAGCTTCGCCATCCATATTTTAGGAATTACCCAATAGATGTTAACACATCCATCTTATAAGAACAGATGAAAATAAATGCAGAACGAACAAAATAGCTAAAGCACGTCATGAGTGTAAACTATATATGCAGTTTTTCAACACACAAGTGACAACTAAAGTCTTGTAAAGCAAATACTATAAAACGGTAAGGCGCTTACTCAAAAAATCCATTCGGCAATTGACACCATTAAGTCTATTTTTTCTTTTAAGAAAAATCTATCCAAACAACATTTGAACAAAATTATACAAATAACAAACTTCTAATTTATTATGTACTTATCATGCTCTTAGTGAAACAGTAATTACCAGAAAAGGACAGACCGATTTTAGCTTAATTATACTGAAAATACCCAAACAATTCATTATTGCCTAAATCAAAAACTCAAGATAGTGATGGTAGAAGCATACAATTTGCAAGATTAATTTTGAAATAATTAAGAACTAATAACAATTTTATCCATAACAGAATTTCAGCCAAAATCGAGAATATTTCAATATATAACCCCAAACATTTTAGAATTCTATTTTATAGATTTGGTAGATAACTACACAAGAATCTGACATACTTGACAATTGGAAATCGGCAGGAACTGACCAAATAAAAGTCTGAAATAGAGGATTAAAGTTCCAGCACCAGCAAAGAAAAGGAACAATAACGAAACTCCTTAGCAAACACAGAGAATCGATGCCAAAAACCAAAAGAAGTCGAAGTCAGTCCCTCAAATTCCGACTTCCCCCCGCCCCCTTTTTTTTTGCTCGAAACATTTTTTAAAAGATTTTTCTAGATTTCTTTTAATTGCAGAGTGTTTCTGCATTGCGTCTGTGGGGCGACAAACTTGGGCGTGTAAAGCTATGGGCTTTTAGGCTATTTTTATGGTTTAAAAATGGGGTAACAGTGGTACCTATTTTAAGGAGAAAAGGGAGGTGTTTGGGTGGTGGATTGGCTACATGGTTTTATGATTGAGTTTAATATAAAACTTTCATGTATTTCTCTTGAGGAAGAAGAGGGAGGGACGGCTGTCTTGAGAAGATAAAGGGATTAGAGTGGCTAGATTTTTTTGTTTAAAGGGGAAGGGGTATGTCGGTATCTGATTTTGGGGAATTAGGGATGGGGTGTTTTAATGAATAGGGGGTTTGGGCCAGGCGGGTTGGGCATGGTACTGGGTTGGGGCAGATTGTGGGAATTTAAGGCAATTGGGCCAAGAAAATTGGCCCAGTCCGAATTAGATTCTAAAGTAATCTTTTTCCCTTTTCATTTGTTTGTTTCTTTTCTTTTTAATTAAAATCAGGGAATTTGCATCTATACCTGCTTTTTTGGTCACATTTTAACTTGTGCCCACTTTGCAAAAAAACTTGCAAACGTACCCACTTTTTTGCATAACTTCAGCATACGAGGCTGAAGTAGCAAATGCAATCACGCAAAACTTTAGCATTCTTGTAGACGGGCCTGAAGTAGCAAAGGCAATAAGCTGAAGTTTTTTTGTCCTGGATAAGATGCTGAAGTTATTTAGTTCATTTGTAAAAACTTCAGCACCAAAATAGCTGAAATATTTTTGTCCTGGATTCATTAGTTTTGTCATAAAGCTTTTTCAAAAACATCAGCAGAAGATGCTGAAGTTATTTAGTTCATTTGTAAAAACTTCAGCACTATATAACCTAAAAAAAATTGTCCTGGATTCATTAGTTTTGTCATAAAGCTTTTTCAAAAACTTCAGCAGAAGATGATGAAGTTATTTAGTTCATTTGTAAAAACTCCAGCACTATATAAGCTGAAGTTCTTTTTGTCCTGGATTCATTTGTTTTATCATAAAGCTTTTTCAAAAACATCAATAGAAGATGTTGAAGTTATTTAATTCATTTGTAAAAACTTTAGCCTTATATAAGCTGAAGTTTTTGAAAAAGCTTTCTAACATACTAGATAAATAATCACCTTACTCTTTCATAGTGTATTACTTCTATAAAATAATCAGATTGCCAACAGTATCTAAAATCATAAATTTTGGAAACAATAAACAAAAAAAGAACAGAATTACGTTGAAATATTCACAAATTATTGTCTACTAACTTATGTAATTATTTATAATTTGTTTTTAAATAATCTGATAAACATACTTATGGCAATTATCCCATGAACTGAAGCAGCAGCAGCAAAAGAAGAAGAAGAAGAAGAAGAATAAGAAGAAGAAGAAGAAGAAGAAGAAGAAGAAGAAGACGAAGGAGGAGAAGGAGGAGGAGAAAGGAGGCTGAA